CTAAATTTTCCGTATTTTCAAAATTCAAAATAGATTGTTACTTTAAACACATTTTTTAATCTTTTATTTTGATTTTTCTTACAAGAATTCTTAAGGAAAAGATTTTTTCTCTTTTAATAATTTGCGACCTTATTGCCAATTGGCTAGCGCTCTGGCCTTTCATACCACAGGCGTCAAGATCCAATCCTGACTGTGACATGGATTCTTGTCAGTGGTTCGGAATCCACGTTAAACTGTAGGTTTCGGTCTAATTGACCCAAAGTGTGCACAGAACAACCGTAGAGCGACAAACCAAATCAAATTTATTATGATTTTGTATATTTTTCAATTCCTTCTATTAGCTCACACTCTCCCTATATATATCTTGTTTACATTTTCAATCGTTCATAAAATACTTTTTATTCATCCACTCAGGTTCAAATACATTTTTTTTGAAATAAGTGGTGGAGGACACTGGATGTTAATACAGTTTTTTTCAAATATTAATTCAGTAATTAAATTTAATTAACTAATTTTAGTTTTTTTTTTTAGATTTACGTTGCATATATCTAGCAATAGATGGCGCCAGATAAACTTAAAAAAATGAATGAAAATTATTTATAAAGGATTTTCTGCAATATAGTGAAAAAAAGTAGGAATTGACTTAAATTTTTTTTTTTTATATTACTTGTTTCAAAGAATAATTATTATAGCACATATCGAATTTTTTTCTTAAAATCACGTTTGGTTTTGAAAATTATTCAAGTGAAAAAAATAACCGTGGTTTTATAATTCAATTGATAGTGATAGCGTGCGCGATTGTGCGTGCTTCGCGAGTGATATTTTATTTGAAATAAAAACTTGAAAAGGAAAACGTATTATTTAAAATTGTAAACATCGAAATAACTATAGTACATCTAAAAATTGCGCTGCAAATTTAAGTGCCTCGAAAATGCCTATTCCAGAAAATTACCAAGCGAAGCATTTTTTTCAAACTCCTGAACCCTGTTTCAGACCAGGTTACTCGGGTTACTTACCAAAGTATGGTCCCAGAAGGCTGTACCAATTCGGCGACACGTACGGACATATGACGCATGAGCTTATGAAACAGCATCCTATTGCTGGTTTAAGGCTGGGAAACATTCTCGATTTCAATAAAGATTTAGAAACTATATTAGAGGAAGATGCACTGGTGTGGAAGCACGAAGTAAATTCTGCAAATAATAGATTTAGAGCTAAGATGGTACCTGGATACACTGGTTATGTACCACGAAAACGCTTTTTGTTTGGTAAAGTCTACAATGAAGAATGTAATGAAGCAATCGCTTTGATAGAAAAACTGAAACTTCTTTAACGGAAAAGCATTTATCCAGAACAGGGGCAGTTTTCATGTTAAAAAAATTTATAATATCATTTCAAACTGTTTACCAAAATTTTTCTGAATTTTGTTTCATTCATGAAAAAACAATATACATTTAGACAATATGTACGTATAATTTTATTTTAAGCTTGAATAATATTAAAATCATAAAATCATAATTCATGATACACTGAAATTAAAGTATTGACTGATCTAATTTATTGAGAAATTTTCATGTATTATATTTTTTTATACAAATGCCTTGACTGTTTTTAAATCAAGGATTTAAAGTTTCGAAATTATAAATCTTTTATTTTGGCTAAAACTTCAATCAGCTTAATAAATTTCATTAGAGTTCAATTTAAAATTCTAATATTCAGTTATAAGAGCTGTTAAAAAAGGGTTGGAGTTTGGAATTGTGTATCTCCGAGAAAGTCGCCAAAACGCACATTTTTTCAAGGTTACAATAATTTAAATAGGTTATAGTATTTAAATAAAATGGTTGCGACAGATACGTAAATTGTAACTGAGGCAGACATTTTGTTTGTTTACTTAGCGATTTAGCAATCTAATACAAGGGTTCTAGACTCCATCTTTCTACTACTACTACACCACACTACATCGCTGTGACTAGAGCTGAGTTTCCCCTTTACAGTTTGGGAATGATGTGGGTGAGAGAGAAGTCTGACTGGGCTCTGTCACCCTCTACGATCATATGAGACCGGGACCTACGGCTTAAAGTGGATGACTCCCTCCTTCTGAGACGTCCTTGTATGAATGTTGGGGTATATCAATCATGGCGTGGTAAAAATCTAGAATCTTGTATCCTTTGAGCTAAATGCATCGCCAGGATGTCAAGTCATATTAATTAATAAAAGTCATAATTATTTTTTTTTTGTTCTAATGCAACTGGCAAACACTTTGGCAGTTGTTTTGGATGCCTTAAGGCAAGCGCTGCACCGACGTTACTCACTTAGCACTACTCAGGAGGAGCGTGTTGTTTGATGATAAGCTACGGACGCGGAGTAACAATACCCCTGCAACGCTCTGCGATCATGTTAGACCAGGACATCGGTCTACTGTTTAAAGTGGATTCCGAACCTCTACAAACATCCATGGCACCGCCGATGCTACGCTAGCCACCCGGCAATTCAGGCCCTAAATTATAACTATAATAAACATAATAATGAATGACGCAGGTAGTTTTCGCTGTAAATCGATATTAAGTCAAATCCTTCACTAGGATGCCAAGTCGCCAAGTAAACAAACAAAATGGCTACGAAGTCATCATCATCATCATTCGACGCACGGAGTACCTTGGCCGTTTATGGCCTTAAGACTCCTAATCTTGGGGAATAAAGTTCATTGAAAACAAATACATGAATACAAACAAAAAGCAGTGAGCATGATTATGTCCATTGTTAGTACAAAAAAGAAAAGAGTAAAAACAAATCGTAGAGTAATTAAAAGAAAGGCGCAATTAAAAAATAATTAAATAAGAAGCAACAAGCTCAATTTCTTAATGAATTTAAAAAGAAGCTGCATTTTTTCAAAGGGATTAGTAGCATTTTGAAATTGCGAGTAAATATTGTCAAGCCCTCCAAACGTGTTAAAGAGATTAACTAATTCATTTAAAACATGTTTGTTTGTTGTTTCTTATCCCACTTGGCTGGCCAAGCCCACGAGCCCATACGGCTCATGATTGAAGGGGAAGGAAGCAGCTTCTGTTGTGATGGAGCACCCCATAGGTAGAAGCCTGACTTTTACTCCGTGACGCTCTTACAGTCATAAGACCGGGACCTACGGCTTAAAGTGGATTCCGAACCACTACAAACATCCATGGCACCGCCGGGATTCGAACCCGAAACCCGTGGCACCGAGCGCTAGACACTCGGCCATTCAGGTCCCAAATTTGCCAACGGCACGCAGTGTTCCCAGGTGGTCACCCACCCAAGTACTGACCGCGTCCAATGATGCTTGACTTCGGTGATCTAACGAGAACAGGTATATTCAGCATGGTACGGCCGTTGGCGTTTAAAACATACATTGCCTTAGTGGCGGAGTCAGCAGTTAGGTTAGTAGTGTTAGTGCTGGTATTTTGAGGCAGATGGTTTGAGACCAACGGCGTAGCGTGAGAGATCTTGGGTGTACCTTTGCAAGAGGCTACGAAGTACGGCTTGCAAAACGCTATTTCGACAAAAAAAAACGCTATTACGCCAACATTAGTAGCCAAATAGCTATTTTTTATTTTTAGCGTCGAAGTTTATTCCTGAAAGTACTTTTAAGTCAAATTTTTATCACTATTCAGCCAAAATTTTATTCCTAAACTCCAAAATTTTTCGCTTAATCGCCAAATTTTTTTCATTAAATGAAATTTTATTTTAAATAGCTTTTACGACATAATTTAAAATTTTATCGTCAAATTTTATCTCTTTAATACGAAATTTTAGCAATATTATGCCAGAAAAATTATACCTGAATTTCCTTTGCGCCATATTATATAGCTTTATCGTCAAAATTTTACCACTATTATGGAAAAATTTTAATGTCATGTTTTTAATGTAAACGTCTAATATTGTTGCTTTAACACCAAAATATATCCCTATTTTGACAAAATTTTATTCCTAACTTTCTTTTACGCTAAATTTAATCACTTTATCTTCAAACTATTACGTGAAATCATGTTTTGCTGAGTGGCATAAATGTATCATTTTAACAATGATAACAATCACTGTTACAATAAATGTAAGCAAAAATTATTCGCTGATATGCCAATTTTTTTTTATTATATCAAAAAATATTTCATGTTCTTTACGATGCCGAATTCGAATGATAAAATAATGTTAACAAAAGAGAAAAATAAAGAACTTACATTTTATTGTGATATGTCCTTCGTCGATGGTTGAAACGAAGTTTTATTCCTTTAGTTAAATAAAATAAAAAAATATTGATGTCAAATTTGGTTTGTCGTTGCCACATATACTCTGCCAGATAATTATCAATTGTTCTTGACACACGGTAGGTGCCATGAAGCGAACTTTTCACAGTCCTCCAAGTACCCTCCATTGAATTTGTATGGGCTCCTGTGTAAGAGATCTTTAAATGTCATACTATGGTTGACCGTCAGTGTACAAAATCCTCAAGTGAAATACAACTGTATGATGGCTAACAGCCTGACAATATCGTAATGTCCAGAAATATTCTTCTTTTTATTATTTCTAGCAAAACATCCACGTTTCTATTTTCTACCACTTCCAATAGGCATTCCTCTAAATATCTCATACTCCTCCAAACGCCCATTTATCCTCAACATGTTTACCCATATTATACTTTCTTTTACAAAATTTCCATTCATCTATTTCAACAATTCTTCCAACGCCTTCAATCATACCTTTAAAACTTAAAAAGTTCACTTCTCTACAAAATTGATGCCAATCTATTATCGTCTGATTCGCAATCAATAAATCCTCCATAGCCCTTTTGTTCCAATTTTCATTTACCCAATACGTTAACATACTCAAATTGCTTTGAACAAACCAAGTACTATTTCTCATTGACCTTCTTATCTGATGAGCATTTATTCCATTCTTTCGACACATCCACGTTTTTCTATCACAAAATATATACAATCAAGCATCTAAATATATAGAGTTGTTTTGCCAACGGCCATACCATGCTGAATATACCGGTTCTCGTTAGATCACCGAAGTCAAGCATCATTGGGCGCGGTCAGTACTTGGGTGGGTGACCACCTGGGAACACCGCGTGCCGTTGGCATTCACAAATTTGGGACCTGAATGGCAGAGTGTCTAGCGCTCTGGCGCTCGGTGCCAGAGGTTTCGGGTTCGAATCCCGGTGGTGCCATGGATGTTTGTAGTGGTTCGAAATCCACTTTAAGCCGTAGGTCCCGGTCTCCTATGACTGTAAGAGCGTCACGGAGCAAAAGTCAGAATTCTACCTACGGGTGCTCCATCACAACAGAAGCTGCTTCCTTCCCCTTCAATCATGAGCACGTATGGGCTCGTGGGCTTGGTCAGCCAAGTGGGATAAGAAACAACAACAGAGTTGTTTTGCTGGGAATAATATTGTCAATAATTTTAATTTGTGTTTTTTTTAATAGTTTTGTGACCCTCAGAAAAGAGGGCTGTCTCAGTCTTTTTCACCATTCAATGCAATTTTTCATCTTTTTAATCAATTATTAAAAGATTTTAGATCCTGAGTAAGAGTTATAGCAGGAAAATTAGTATTATTGTTCTTATAAAGAATCCGCATAAATTACTGTAAGAGCTTCAGGGTCAGTCGGAACATGTGAGATAAAAATTAAAAAGAAAAGAGAGGATATTTTGATGTCCTGAGGAATACCTGGCGAAATAAGTTTAGAAGTCGAGTGAATTTAAATGAGTTTATTAATTTAATTAAGTACTTCGAGTTTATTAATTTGAAGTTTATTGTCAATCATATAAGATTGGATTAATTTGATAAGCTAAGGAGGAAATTTAAACATAATATGTTCATAAATTAGATCGTTTCTCAAACTCTGTCGGAAATTTTCTGAATATCAAAGAAAAACGTACCAGTGTATTGCCTATTTTGAAAATCTTCTGTTATATATACTGTAGTACGAAGCAAAGAAAATAGTGGATAAGTTTTTACCGAAACAAAATCGCTGAGAATTTAGAATGTTATTGTCAAAGACTAATTGTTGTTGTTGTTAGAGACCAAGAATTTAATTTATAGGAAATAATAGATCCGGTAACTTGACTTAGACAAAATAATAGAGAAATAGGAAGATAATTTTCAGGGTTGGAAAGTTCTTTGGTATGTTTCAAAATAGGAATGCCGGCTGTTGTTTTCGATGTACAGGGAAAATATTTAAATTAAAATATTTTATTGATGAGATGGCCAAAGAGAATAATAGTAATTGGAAGAAAGTGTTCGATTATCTTATTCGTGATAGCATCTAAACTGCAAGCTTTTAATACTTTTTATTATGTTCGTAATTTCCGAGGGCATAGTACATGTGATAATATCATCCTGATAATTTAAATGAAATTTTGGAAAGTGTATTTGAGTCTCTCTCTCTGTATATGAAAATGTTATAAAAGAATGACCAGTTGACTATTTTTCTCTCTTACCTGTTTCTTATTTTCTCTACAAGGGAAGTCTACCTAATTTAACTAGTGTTTCCAAGAAGTTTTCAAGAATGTTCCTCCTTCCGGTTCTTTGCTTGATATATAAGTACCGTGGGTACGATGTAAAACCGATCTTTAGACCAGATAAGATAAAATAATAAATTACAAAGAAAAGAACTGGATTTCTATGTCTTATAGTTTTTAAGTTTTAAAAGATATATGCAGATAACAAATCTATTTATACGTAAAAAGAGATAATGAATGGAATAAAAATCATTCGTGTAATTCTATTTAATTAAAGCCCTTGATCATTAAAATTGTTTCTCAAGTTTTTAATCTTTCTTATTGTCTTAATTAGCCAAATTTTTGTATGCAGTAAGCATACTGCACTATTTTTCAACCAATTCGTGCTCTCGATTTAGGATTCGGTCTTTGCAATTTAATAACCGTTGTTCTGAATCGTTAAGGACCACCACTACATATTATAAGTTAGACACGATTTTATGTTTAGGATTTCTTTTAAACAGATTCTAAAATGATTATTTCTTAAGCTACTTTTAGAAGGAGAGACACCATCAAATGCAGTATTAAAGTTTTTTTTATGAGTTCTGGGTTTGTTTAATATTCGGGAAGGTTAGATGTATAATGAAAATAAATTTCAGGAGAAAGAACTTATATTTTTGTATATATATATATATATATATATATATATATATATATATATATATATATATATATATGTTCTATTATAATTATATATATATATATATTATAATAGAAGAACTTCATTATATTGAAGAATGGTAAGAATAATTATGATAATGGATATAAGATGATTTTTGAAGAGCACCATTTATTATTATATAAAGAGTAAATAAAGTCCAAATATACGTAAGTGAAATACAACAGTAGAGGAGTAAATTGAGTAAGAAAATAAAAATTTTTTCATTACTCATTGTAAAAGTTATAATTCCGTTACTACTTTACTTGTAATACAATTGCAGTGTGATCAATAAAAAAATCCGTTTCTTAATAGCATCTAAAGTTACTGTATTGAAAAATGAATACTGTCGTAATTGTGGTAGAGTATCTATGAGTGATAGTTAAGCCAATTGTCAGTTCAAATTTTCAGATTGTTGTTTTACATAGCACGCAAATACATGAGATTACGCATTTATTCATGAAAATTTCAGTATAGGCTATATTTCACTATCATTTTCTTCAGGAAATGGTGATGAACCATGGAATGTTATTCTCATGATATTTATTTTTCTTTTAGTAATCTTATTAGTGATTAATTATAACTGAAAAAGAAGGAAAAAAAAAAAAAAAAAAGGGAACTAAATTACTACGAACTACAACACCTATTAATTATTGATTATTTTGATTTAATAAATGGCAATGATCTATTGAATTTTTACCGCTGCCGGTTTGTTTATCCAAGGTAAAAATAATAAATTTTTCAGTATTTTGTTTTATAAATTTATTTCAGGAGCTTGGTATAGTTTTTAAATGATCACAAAACTTACAATTTTTTTCATTATTGTTCTGTTCCATGTAACTTTTTTTTCGTGATTAAAGATTGTTTTGCAATCTTGATAAAGTAATGTAAACAAAAACCTGTCATAACTGAAAAAAGTTCAAAAGATCATTTTTTTAATTAAGTTTTCGATAATAAAAGATAAAATTTCGTTTTTCATAATTACAAAAGTCCTTGAGCATTTTCTTAAACGCCATTCATTAATTGATTCATATTTTGAGTTGAGTTAAAAGTTAAATAAAGTTTATCGTGCGTTTATGTGATACTAAATTTTTGTGTTTATTTTATTATATATATTTGAATCTTCGGAACAAAATAAATGTTTATTTATGAAAGCACTACAATGCAAAATGAATAAAATTAATGAAACCAAATTTTATTAATTTTTTATTTTATTTTAATTAAAAGAAATGAATGATACTAAAGTTTATTTTTAAAAACTATATTAACCTCAGTGTGTTAAAAAGTATTTCTTTCACCCCCATCCTACCCCCACAAAAAATATGAATATATGCTTTGCAAAATTATCAACAATTCTGTTATTTATAATCTATATTAAATATGAATGAATATATTATTGGAAATAATGATATTCATTAAAACCTCATGAAAACACATTGAAAAATTAATTAATTTTTTCAATGTTTGTAGAGTAATCAAATGAATCCTACTTGGGAAGATCCTATCCCAGATGAAGATGATGACGAAAATACATATGATGTAAGTTATTTATAATTAACCTTCTTTTTAAATTAGTTGTTAATATGTCTGTGCTGAACTTATTCAAATGGCCTATATTGAGAAAATCATATATAGACTGATAATATCTCTCAAAATCACTTTTTAAGAAAATTAAATTGAGTTTCTCATTAAAAAAAATTTTGACAAATAAAGTTCACTGTGTGCAATTCATAAATTATTATGATTGATTCTTTTAGTATGGGCTGTTACTATTGGATATCTTTTAGCCTGGTCTTTCTGTACAGAAATATTGTAAATTAAATTTTTATAATGAAATATTAATCAAGTTTATTTTTTATAAATGTGATATTTTAAACCAGATTTTTTTTATTAAATAAATTTTATATAAAATGGAAATTTTTTAACAATAATTATCTTTTTTTTTAAATATATTTTTTCTGCATGCTGTTTTTTTTCTCATTAATGCTTTTCAATGATTTGTTAGTTCAATATTTATTATAATTAATGGTAAAAAATATTTCTTTTATAAATTACTTTTTGCTGTTTAAATTTTCTATTAATCATTTAAAAATTTTTTATTTTTAGAAAGGATTTGTTCGAGGTCGAGATGCAGTGATTTTTTTAATTGATGCTACATGGGAAATGTTTCAGACTCATACAGAAGAAGGAAATCCTTTTCAACTATCTTTAAAAGTTAGCTCTATGGAAATTTTTTTTTTTCAGTTATTAGATTTTATTATATTATATTTTATTTTTTTTTTCATTAAATAATTTTTAGTAAGGACATTAAGAAACCTTATCTTAAAATATACATCTTAGAATTTTTTTAAAATTTAAAAAGCTTTTAAATAAAGTTTTTAATGTGTATTATTTTCATTATCATTAGTTAATATTTTGATATTTCTGTTAACTAACACAAGATATATTATAGCATATTTAAATTGATGTTCTGTTTAAAATATAGTTTATGTATGGTCTCTAAAATGTAATTTTTTAGGAAATTATATTTACAAATTTTTTCTTTTTTTATGTTTGATTTAAATATATATTACTATGCATCAGTTAGGCTTTTTAAATATTTAGCTGTGTAGATATTTGAATTGATATAACATAAGTTATAAAACAAATTTCAGTTGGAAATTTGTGAGTAATTAAATGAAAAAAAATTAAATTTTTAATTTATTAGCTTTTAGTGTGTAATTTTAATTTTTAAATCACTTACTTTTCAGTGTGCACGAACAACTCTTACAAATAAAATAATATCAAGTAACAAAGACCTTACAGGCATAGTTTTATTTGGAACAGTAAGTATTTTAATTTCATATTTATATATTTTGTAAATTTACTAAAATTTTCTCCATTTCTATATTTCTTTTAAATGTAAAAATTTCTTAAAATT